CTCTTCTTTATAAATGAGCGGGGCGAAGGGACGAGGAGTGCGGAAGCTGCAGTTCAGATATTCACCGGTTGATTACCGTCCCGACGGGGTCGGCTACGGCGTAGGGAAATCCCCCGGGGAGGACGCTAACTCGACAACTGACAAATTAACCCGGCGCACCGACGACACTTGCAAAATAGGTCGACAAGAAGACGCCCCCGTTTCGGGTTTGAATTCGACGCCCGCCAGATGAGGATTCCCAGCCAGTCGTCGAACTCAATTTTACTCGCCGACAGGGTGAACGATGCGCCGGCGGACTCCGGTTATCGGTCACACGAGATTAACCCTAAATCCCGGATGTGGCGCGATTAATCGACGCCCAGCGCGCCAGTTCAGGATCGCGCGGCGTAATCGCGATTTTCATACTGAAATGTTCCGCGAGATTTTTCAGTCGAGCGTCAAATGTCACACCGCCTCATATTATATAACGTATGTTTCAGTTATTGCGTATACGCGATGCGACGCTTCGGCAATTCCTTATCGCGAAGAACGATCCTTCAAATATTCAGAGCCGACCCTGCCGGTCTGAAAATCGGCGGAAATCAAAATTGACGTCTTTTCAGGGCCGGGGACGCGTTTGCGATTTCGTGAAGTGACTCCTTGGGCTCTTCGAGGTTCCTCTGGTCCAGGAAATTCCTCGTTGGAGAGGCTAAGTGAATTGGAAATAAAAAAAAAAGTACCGGGCCGGGTAAATAATCGTCCGATGGCGACGTTCGCGCGAGGTGATGTCGCACCGGCAATACTTTTCACATCGCCCATCAGGAGGTAGGGGGATTGTTATTCGTGCGGCGTAGTGCCTCGGTGTCGCTTTCACTAGAGTCGGTTACTGATAAACGAGCGGTTTCAACCCCACGCGTCGCCCCCTGAATGTAAACTCACCCTGCCGGCCTGCCTGCCCGCCGACGCGCTTTAAGCTCTTAGCGCGGGTAAATGCTCGGTGTAAATCGTTTTCGAACGTAAACGATTGTCGACGACAGACCCGAAATTAATCGTCGTGATTCCGGTCACCGAGTGACGGCGGCGGCAACGGGATGATGCTGTCGCGCGCGTAACGCGGGAATAAATTCGCGAACGTCACGATTACGCGACAAGCTGATCGCCAGCAACGAGATGTTACAAAATACAATCAGATGTCATTTTTCCCGTAATTTTCTCAGAAAGTGGATGTTAAACGGATCTTTATAATCACGGAAAAATTACTTACTAATTAATTTTGTCGAACAGAATAATTCGCCAATGAGGTACACAAGTTACTTTCCTGGAACGCACATAGAGAGACCTCCACGGTGACACGTGGGAAAAATAAAAAGAGACACTGTTAGGAATAATATTTTTCGTAAATATTTCAAAGCGTATATTGAAAACTTGGATTTCTGTGACCGCGGAAAAAAATTCGTTACACATTAATTAACTTTCTCAAATAAAACAATTTATGAAATGAGATACTTGTTATTTCTCTATGACGCACGAAAGATAAAATGTAACACAGACAGTGGTATTTTTCGTAATTTTTTCAAAACGTAGAGAACGCAAATTCGAATTTCTACGGCCACGGGAGGAAGAGTTAATTAATTCTCCCGAACGAAATGATTTACCGATAAGGTGCGGAGTTAGTTTTCCATGACGCGTGGGGATCTCTCTCCAAGATGACGTACGGAAGATATATCAAAGGCGTATAAGCCCATCTTATCGTCAGGGCCGTTCTCCGGCAATTCGCGATAACATTCGTCTCCGACGGGAGCGGGATTTACGAGCGGCCGGCGGGGAGAGATGTCGTACGCGACGAATCGCACGACAAAACCCAACGGCGCCCTGTGTGTGCTACGTGAGAGCGGCGGCCAAAGGTGGAACGTCACGTTCGCTCGCGAGACCTCCGGGGAACGATGTCTCAAACGACCACGAGGCGCACCTGCACAGCAAATTCCTCCGCCTGGAAAAGTGCTGTCCCGTCGTTGCCGCCGATGAAGATCCGGACGAAACCTTCCCGGCGTACGCGCACGTATACGCGCGCGCTCGCGTACGCGCGCCAGAGAAACGATAAGTTTGTCATAGCCAATTTATACAATTGGCATGGCGCGACACCCGTTCTATTCGGCACTGGGGACCTACGAATTTATGGCTAATGTTGCCGCTACGTCTCTCGGTCACGTCCCCTTCCTACGTTAGTGCCGCTTTAATTTCGCGTTCGCTCGCGCCAAGATAAATGTTAATACGCCGCGTAAACCGGGAAAATACGAATATTCGGAGAGACGAAATCGAATTTTCGCGCGGTCGATACAGTGTCCGGAGGCGAGTTATGCTAACGAAACGCGTGGGTCGTGCTGAATAAATATATAACTCCTAAAAATCACTCAATATTTATTAAAAGAAGTTCAACAATTTCTTTTTTTAATAATCTATGCACTCTTCTTAATAATACAATATTACAACCTAATAATATTATATAATTTTTAATAAAAATTTCACTTTGTGAAAGATAAAAAAAAACGATGATAAAACTGACTAAAATAATGAACGGGAAGGTTGATTGAAAGATACATATAGTGAAAAGAAAGAACGACGTTTTGCAATGACTTTCTCTCGATAATCTATAAGTCAGTCAATTGTTAATCGAGGTCACGTCGATACCAAGAGGTGGGTGTCCGTTTGACCGAGCGTAGGACAGCGTATCAAAGCAGACGCTTCACCCTTCACCCTCGATGCCGTCGCTTTGCCTGCATTGTGGCGGACAATTGGTATTCAGGCCGGCGGATCCCTTGGATTCATGTAACAGCATCGGGGACATGTGTCAGCCAGAGACGATTGGTAGTGAGGGTCGGAAATGGCTGTTTAAAATTGCATCGAGGGCCTACCGTTAAGGGCACGTGCGCTTTTTAATGTCCCGACGAATGCTTACGATAATGTCCTTTAAGCTTTTATTAACGGTTATCAGGATACGTGGCCCGAATGGCCATGGCCATTCTCACGCGACAGCCAACCTCGATCCTTTACCCACGATATCCTAGCTCGAAAGGAGCCCTCGTCCTTTCCGCTCTCCGATCGGAATTACTCGCGCACGATGAAGTTTGATTTTTTCTTTTTTTTTTTTTAAGAATGCTGAGACAACATATGTATCGACTCTCTGTTATTCTCTATCATTCCCCATCGCTCTGTCATTTTTCGTCATTATCATTTTACAAATTTATTAGAGTAAATATTCGAGTAATCAGCGGATGAAAAGATAATAGCGCAGGAGTGGACGATGCTTTCTCTTTCCGTGGTCTGCGTGACACCGGAAAAGTACATCGACGCGTGCGACCTTCCCGCTCATCTTCGGATCCATTATGGCATTAACGGCGTGCCGGAGGGTCTCGGCTCCCGCGGGAGAAAAACTTTTGCCAATGATTAACCGAAGTCGTTTCGTGACTTTGATGAGTCGACAAAACTCGCCTCGGTAGATTTGTTAGGAATAATTAAGACCCGTCGCGCCCGACGTTACGAGATCGCTTTTGCCGCGAGTCGTGTCACTTTTCCGAACGACCTCTCGGCAACCCTCTGTTAACAAAAAATATTTCGTCGGTCAAGTCCGATTCGATTTTCTACCCTCGTCGATACGAAACAGCTATTTTGTACGAATGTTACTAGAAACATTGGCGAAAAATAATAGACAACGACGACGATCGCTCGGTCGATGAATAATTCATTTCCACGGAACGGAACGAAGTCGGATTTAATTAACGAATTCGAGCGAACTTTTGACTAAACTGACCCAATAGTTAGATAACTACTTCGCTATTTCACTAGTTTTCCTAGTGGCTTCATGCAAACCCGATAACGACTCCAGGCATTGCCGCGTCCGCTCGTTTTTTCATTCAGAGACAAACGAAGCCTCCCCCGCGCGCACGCGTAGCAAATCGGACGAGGGAGCCGGCGAACGGGCTCGATAAAAAAAAAAAAGAAACAGTCCGACGAGTTTGACAATAACATTCTTCGGCGAGACTTCGGCGGTGGTGGACCAACAAGATTCGGGGCAGAAATCCGTCAAAATAAATCGGTGTAACCTACAGCAGCGTTCGTTTTCCGGACGAGCTCGCCGAGCACGATGCTGCGACGACAACGTGATTCGGCCGGTGTCCTACGGAGGCTGCTGAAGTTCAAGTTCAGCGGTAAGAATGTATCCGTCGGTCAGTCGCCACGCAAGTGTCAGACTACCGTGCGAATAAAATATATCGAAATCACGAGATTCGTGAGTCCGCGAGTGACGTTTCTTAACGCACACACGTTCGTACAGCTGAGGTTTCGCGTGCCGGCGGGAAGGCGGCGGCTTTCAAGCGGGAAGGATTTCTCAGCTGGCTGAAGAGCGTTTTCAACGCGGCCGCCGCGGTCGAGTCGAACGGTGACGGTTATTTTTCGCATCATCGCGAAACCGCGAATATCCTACGCGGCCGACATATCGGCAACGGCGATATATCGCGTGACGTGAATTAACCGCTGAAATAACATGTTGCAGAAGATAGAAGAAGGCACGAGGTCACCGCGGCGAGCGTGGATCACCCAGAAATAGCGGATCCCTCGCGCAAGGTCGGCGTCGTTAATCGAGAACCGGCCGACTTCAAGGCGGCGCGACCGACGACGAAGGTCGGGGAGTCGCCCGACGCGACTCAACAGTTGGCGATTTGCGCCGAGTCGTCCAGTCGCGTCGAGGATCTCGCGGAGAAGAGGAAGACCGACGAGCAGGCTCTCGAAGAACGCGGAGGAGACTCCTCGTCGCGGCTTCCCGGCGAGATCGATCGAGCGGGGAGAACCGAGGACGAGATCGGGGACGATCCCGACGCGCGTAATCGTCGCTACACGAGCCCGAGATACTGTTATCGCCTGCCACTGTCGCAAACGAGCCAGCCGGTTCTTCTTCTGGCCGGACCGAACAGAAACATCAGCGTGCCGACGCGCGCGATCGCGGCTTTCGCGGCGAAGAACTCGAAGCCGCCCATCAGGGAGCCGAACATGCCCGAAAAGCGCGAGAAGAAGGACGAGAAGGAGAAGCGGCGCAAGAAGGAGAAGAAGGAGCCTGTAATACGTACGGAGCGCGAATCCGTCGATAGTAGCGAGAACCGGGCGGCGATGGCAGATAACCCGACCGGCGACCCCGACGCGCCGTTTCGTTACGAGTGGGGCGTGAAACTCGCCGAGGAGGAACCGGCCGGCGATAAGGATAACTCCGCCGAAAAGGGCCAGCGATACGTCACGAAGCGGCTTTGGGGAGTGAACCTGACGCAGCCGAAGCCGGATGTCGGAGGTGCCGAGAGTCCCGGGGGAGCCGCGCACCGGAACGCCTCTCAGACCGTCGAGAGCGGCGATACCGCGGCGAAAGTTGAAGAGACGGAGGAGGCTTGGAAGGCTCTCTCGACGCCGAATGAGGATCGCTCACCGGCGAGCAGCGATCTCGTCAAGTCGCAGCGGGAGACGACCGAGGCGAGTTCGCCGACGCGTTTCCAAGTTCTCCGGAGGATCATGGAAGCGGTGCCGAGCGCGTCGAGGGAGACGACCGGCGACGACTGCAACGCGCCGGAGGAAGCGGCTACGGACGTCGAGATCGCCGCTTGGCGCAGTCTCGCGGACAAATCCAAGCCGGCCATACAGGCCATCCTGTCGGCCATGCGGCCCGAGATGCTGGAGAGGGTGTCCATCCGTCCGGAAGCGCCGCGACCGAAATTAGACGTGCGAGTCGTGAGATCCGTCGAGGACATTTCGGAGGACGACAAGGACCAGCAATCCGCCGGCTGCAAGCTGAGCTCCATCGGCCTTAAGCACGTGGAGATACCGAATATGGATAATTACTCGCCCAGCAAGAAGCTGCACACCGCGAGTGCGCATCGCGCGCTTTGGGATTCGAACGGCGTCGCCCTCTCGGTGAACTCGACCTCCGCCGAGGAAATCGCGGGAATGAAAAAGCCGAAGATCACGTTAACCTTCTCCACGAATTCCGAGGATTCCAAGGAGGAGGAGATTAACGACGATCATCGACAGGACGGACAACGTATCTGCTCGAGTCGGCAAAATGGACGACAAAGCGACTGGAAAAGCCTCGAAGAGGAGAAGTTGAGCGATTCCGACACGAGTAATTCGTCGGAAAAAGTCGAAGCAACTCCGTCACTCGCGGAATCCCAAGCAGCTTCGACCAACGATTTCACCGAGAGCTTCGCTGTCGCGGACAAGGAGATAGAAACGTCCACGAAGCAACCTCAGGGCGCCGATCGCCCCGCGCGAGAAGAGGAATCTCGCGTCGAGGAGGTTCGCGGCGAAACGCAGGGAAGAAGCTCCGAGGATTCTCACGTCAGCCGTGATCGCGCAGAAAGAGGATACGACAAGGACGCTCCGGACGTTGCAACCACCGACGACGGTCCGAGGAAATCGCACGAGGCCGGCGAATCTAGGTTCGCGAGCGCTAAGAACCTCCTTCCCGATTCTAACGCGGAGAATCCGAGCGACGACGATGACGAGCAGTACGTCACCGACGGCGATTACGTGCGAGTATACGGCGACCCCTATCCTTACAGCAAGGAGAACCTGGACAAGTGGCGGATGCCGGTGTCCAGGAGCCTGCTCTACAAGCCGATCAAGCGGGGAGCCCTTCCCTCCGAGCGGTCAACCCCGAGGAGGAACGCTAACGACGCGTGTGCCAACACCGCCAGGCGGTCGTGCGGTTCTCACGCCGCTGGAACGGTAATGGAGACTTCAGTAAGCGGCGACGGCGCGACGGGCGCAAAAAACGTGGGACTCGCGAACGGATTCCGCGCGAGCAGCGGGTGGCGGCGCTTGATTGCGACGCCACGGACGCGCTCGGACTGCGAGGATGGACGGAGGCGACCGCGAAAACGAGCGAGGCGGAGCGAGGCGACGACAACGCGTCGTTGCGCGCGTATCGTCAGTAGAGGCTCCGCTGCGCTGCGAATTCGCGATGTAACTTCCGGTGAGCGTTCACCCCGAGCTAGCTAGCTTAGCGAGCGAGTGAGTGAACGCTTTTGCATAATTCAGTTCTCTCGGTTAATTAGGACGGGCTCGTTGGCCGCGCGACGTAACGAGCGAGGGTTCCGCGAACTTTAATCCCAGATTGCGTACCGTTTCCGTCCGCTCGCGCTGTTGACGCTCAAACGCACCGAACGTAACGAGCGTAAGTGCAACTGGCACTTCTCTCGCGACTACCGGGCGAAACTGTCATTCGGCACGTTTCTACGGTCGGCGTCGGGTGCTGAACCATTCCCTAGGAAAATTGCACGATTTTCAGCCTTCCACATAACGTATAAGATTGAAAATCGCAAAAGTAACTGTAGTTATATAATGGTGCAAAAGGTTATGATAGCTCCAATTATAATAGTTTTATAGAAAGGAATTATCTGTCCATATGATACAACTGAAATTTAATTACTAGTTGTTATCCGTAAAAGCTAAAAACTAAGTACTGAAATGAAAAGAATTAAATTAACGAAATTTCAGCTGTGTCATATGAATTAATTTTTATCTGTGTGAGCTACCTTTTTCTTTCTCCCAATATAGAAGATTACTCGAGTCGAAATTTTATTTCCACATTAAGTTTATTTAGTCCTACATTGCGTCTCCTATTGTGCTTCTTTGATGCTAAAAATGGGAAATGATTTCCGTTTTCTCCACTTGAAGACTTAATGCAAAATCAAAATGTTGACTCGAGCAAAAATCATGTAATAATAAAAAGTTTTAATCCGGAGAATAGTGCAGTATAACGCCGACTGTACGAAAGTCGTTTTCCTTTTCTACGTGTGAAAATGAGCGAACGACCGATCGACCGTAAATATGTACGATTTTTCAGATTTTGACGATGAGGAGCTCGCGGAGGTATCTGTAAAAATCACAAGCGTCACCAATCATGAATCAAAATTGCAGATATGACGTCCCCGAGTTGCCAATCGAGCACGGCGCATTGAAAGCGCAAGAAACGTACGATTTCCCCACCCTTTTGTATCCTTTACAAGAAACGTTTTGTAACAAATAATTATTAGCAATTGCATTAAATACTAGTGACTGGCGTTTCTTGGCTGGTCGGATCGCGAAAATCGCGTTCTGCAACGGAAGCGCGTTCCGTTATCGCCCGAGTTCCGACTTATCCGCGGACACGCTGCGAAACGTTCATTTCCACCGGCCGCCCGGCTCAGCTTCCTCGACGGTAGAGAAAGAGGGGAAGAACGAGCGCGTCCTCCGCCTCCTGAAATTATTCTCCACTCCCATAAACACGTTCGCCTTCTCGCGCTTACGATTAAAAGCGGATAGGGAATCGAGCCGTATCCACGAAATTACCGTATACGGTGCGCGGTTAGCTCGCCTTAAGAGCTTTTTTGATCCTCGGGACGATCGGGCATTAATCCCCCGGCCGACGCACCTGTCGAGAAGCGGGCAGCGGCGGCAACAGCGGGAGGAAAGAGCGGAAGATGAAGAAGGAGGAGGATAAGCTTGGAGAACGACCGGCTAGGTCGTTCAATCAGACACGTGTACTTATACGCGTACATCCCGCGCCACGGACTCTCTTCTCCGGCCGAGCGGGCGAACTATCGACCCGCGCCTAAGCCGGGAGGATATGCGTGCCTACCGGTCACGAACGCGGCCGTTCTCCCGCCCGGAGGCTGTTATTTGACCACCGGCGAGATCTCCGAATCGTCGACCCTCTATCTAATCATTCAAATCGTCCTGCCGGTCTAATCGGCGGTGTGTACGCATGCGGTCGCCGCCACGTCGCGTCCGGTATTCCTCTCCGTCGAGGGTTGCCAAAGACCGAGTCTTCCGCGCGAGAGAGAGAAGGAGAGAGGCTACCAACACCATCGCCGCGATACCGGAGGCAACGGCGGCTACCATACCGCGCTACTACCATCGCCGATAATGCCCGCCGGTAATGGCAGACCCCGTGGCCCTGATTACCTTCGCTCTGCCAGAAAACACGCGGACGTAGTTTAACCTCGGTTACTGCAGCTGGCCGTGCTGTGCGTGCCACTTTCCTGGCTGGTGGATCGATCGATCGATCGATCGATCGTCCGCCCGCCGATCCTCCTGTCATTCGCTCCTCCGCGGGTGTCGCGCGCGTCTAACGGAAAGTGTGAACGACCTGCTCCCGTTTTCTCGAGGTGATCGCGGAACGGACGGGATTTCCATCGAAGATCGAGACTCGATCTCGTCCCGCCTCATCCTCGAAGATACGCTACTTTCGGCGCAATTGTTTAGCTTCAGCGAATCCTACGATGTACAGTCGTTCTTGAGTCCCGTTTCATTATATTTTCCTATTTGTGCGGAGGGAAGCGCGTGTGAATAAAATAAAATGAAATGAAATAATACAGGTTAATAGAAGCAACAAAGGAACAGAAGAATGCGGTTATTATAGAGAACACGAGCCGCCTCAGTGAATCATCAGCGCTCGACGTTTTACGTTTCTGTCGAAACATGACCGAAAAGGTAAGTTTCTTGGTGAATACCTCTTCCTCGAGGATTCGGAAAATTCCACGAGTTATCATCGGCATAGAATCTATTCCTTGGAAATTCCCATGCAGCGTCTCAGCACGCTCCTCTAACGCGTTTATCGCGAAGCGACCGATCGAGTTTCCTGACTCGCAGCGTCGGACGCAGTGCGACGAGCGGGATTGGCATTGGTAGCAGACCACGCTTTTATTTACGACTAGAATCCGCCGACTGCTCCGGGTTCGCTCGCTCCTCCTTGACCCTCTCCTCTCGTTCGCGCCGGGGTTAGAACGATCCTATCTTCGCGAGACGTAGCCGCGGAGATCATTCCCTTCGGGGTCTCCTGTGCACTATAAAAGATCGCCCTATGCTTGTATATTACTCACGCCACCGTGTTTTCACTTGGCGCGGCGATCGGCGCCGATATCATAACTCCTTGTCGTACCGCCGTTCAACCAGCAAATCCGCCCGGCGACGAGGCCTCCTCCTGGTAGCGATAGCAATTCCGATACGACCGGCAGCCGTTGTAAGACGAGGACGAACATCACCGCCAGATAAAACGAAACTCTCGTCGTCGGCGAGCCTCGACCGACCAACCGCCCTTATCGCGCTCAAGTGTGACGAATTCCCCGCGTCTTTGATTCGCGTTGTGACTAAGCACCGCTGTCGTCGACTGATCCCGAATACCGATGATAACTCGCCGAATTTCCCCAATATTCGAGGAGATTTTCCACTCGTTTTCACGCCGTGATGTAACCGTCGAGCGCCGATGACCGACCGAGGCGACCCGTGCTCCTCATTCTAACCGGCATACGATCTTCACTATATCATTACTTTGTAGTTTTTATTCTGTATCATCTCGTTTTTCGCACACGTCTGACAAAATAGATATTCTTATTACATTTTTGGAACAGTCAGTATATTTCTCGGTAGAATTAGATACTTCATCGGTGCCCGAATATGCTGACCGCGGAGATCGATTGGATATTAAGAGCTAACATACGCGCGGCCCGATGAAGTTACGCTTGTAGTGGCGTAAATCCGCTTTATCCGCCGGCTGAAGCTCACGCGACGATCTGTGATCTTTCGGGAAATTCGCGCTCCGCTCCGTGGAACGTGTCTCATAAATACGTCCCGGTGCTTCCGGTAATCGAAGGTCACCGAGGTGTGGTGCTGGCGGCCGAAAATTCCACGACGTCAGCGGCGTCGCCTTTCGCGCGGAGCGATGATCCGGGGAGACGTTGCGACCATCCGCGGCATCTCCGGGACACCGAAATAGATGGTTTACTGCCTCCCTTAAATACGTCAACGTTTATGCGCGCATTCCCGAAAGTAAATCGACGAGGAATGTTTTCGTACGACGCCGCGCCGGCCCCGTCACGAACCGAAGCCAACTTAAACGCCGAGGAGGAGCCGAGGGATGTCCGCAACCGGCGAAATCGCCCGTTATTATTAATAACGCGAGAGGAGCGTCTTTGTTTACGATGTCACGGGCTTTTACACGTGCGCGGTTTTATGATACATCGATGCGGCCGCTCTTGTTCCTTTTAACGTCTTGCATAGCTTATATATATATATAAGCTTCCCGTGCATTTCTATTTTGTTCTTTTTCATATCAATTTCAACGGCCACAAAGTAGCTAGCTGCTCCCGTTCAAAGAGACGTCCGCCATGTATCCGATATCGCGTAACGACTGTTTTCGAAATTTCCACTAGGAAAACGCACCCCCGGGCGATAAAGCGAGGGTTGAATAACGAGTGTGTCGCCCGCGTGGCCGGAGCGAGACGGCGATTCCGCTCGAGTGTTCGAGCGGTCGCGCCTCGGGCGCAAGTCACCCCGCGATCGTTCGCCGCAGAAAGCGTGGCCCGTAGTGACACCACAAAAAATCACGGCGCCGCTTTCCGGCCGGATATCTTTCAATTACCCGTTAATATGATAGGCGGCGGGCGTAGTTGCAAGTCACCGCCGCGTCGTTGCCCGCAGCGTGCGCGCACACGATACGTACACACGCACTCACAAACGCACGCACACACACACACACACACACACGATTGGGCGATGTGTGTGCGTGTGTGATTAATCGACGTCAACCGCAGACCGCGGCGCGAACCTCGTCGAGGGAATCGCCGGCGATTCGTTGACACGTCGATTCGCGGTTTACGCGCGCCGAAATACCCGCTGCGTCGCGCCGGCGAAATTTATGCGACGAGCGCACGCGAAGATCGCCGGGCGCGAATGTTTGCGTAGCCACGAGGCGGCGGTTAAACGTGGTTACAATATCGCCGCGTTGTAGCCTAATCGCGTCCTGGTAAACGGCCAAGTCCGCCTTCTGCGCGGAGTGTTTTCCGATATGATATCATAGGGTCTAGCACAAAGTGAGAAGTCCGAGCGCACGTGATCCATCGGCGAGTCGCGAGTGTCGACTTGAGTTTACGGCGCGACCGTGCGATGCGGCTGAGAAAACTAACATGGAAAGCGACGGAAGTTCCTCGCTGAAATTGCTCCTCATTCAACGGACGACCGGCCGGCTGCGCGAAGTGAAAAAGTCCGCAGTACGGCGGACCGAGTGTCGAAGTGGAAAAACGCAGTCGAGCGCGTTCTTTTACGCTGGATTTCGAACGTTCTATTCACCTTTCGTAAGAGAGAGAAGAAGAAAGACAGGGGAGAGAGAGAGAGAGAGGGAGAGAGGGAGGGAGAGAGAATTATTTGAAAAACCATCATTGTATTCGATACTACAGAAGGCAGATATTTTTGGATTATTATTGTTTAGTCGCGCCAAGAAGAGCGAAGGAGAAAAAGTTTAAGGGGGATCACCGTTGAGACGTTCGCAGGAAGAGATGATTCAAAGCGAATCATCAAGACGCGAACTGCATCGGACATTGGTACACTAAAAGAGAAAAAATCATATCAGAAGCATAGCTCGAAAACATCATCAAGCGCGCCGATAGAAAATTATAGTTATTATCGGCGTCAAACGTGCTTTCGTTTCAACCACAAAAATAGTTGGAAAGAACTATTTTTCCAGCAAGTCTTACTATCATGATAATAATCTTACATGCTTGTTATTACTACTGTAAGGTATGTTTGGCGCCGAAAATCATTTTTCATCAATGTGCAATTGTTGTGACTTGATTTGACGAAATCGTTCGAACAAACGAAAAACGACCGTTTGAGAGACCGAAAAATCGATCATTCTCGCCGCGTATACCTTCATTTTCTTCCTCTATTTCATTTCTTATATCTTATTTACACCTCGGAAAAAGTTAGCGTCATAGTAATAGCAGTCAAGATTAAATATCATCCGCTGTAATCCGTGGGTATAAATTGCGCACACTCAACTCTCGATATCGTGACAATTCGCGGAGAGTATGCGAATTTTCCCTCCGGCTGCCTAAGTCCACCGGCTGTCCTTTCCCATAGCCGGGAAATGGAAAGCGTCCTTTGCGAGAGCGAGGCGCGTCGCTAC